TGATGAAAGGGTTGCCCTCCCTATATGCTACCTGTTTTTCCTTTGGTTGTTTTTTTTTTTTTTTTCAGGGTAAATTTAGTGCATAGAATGTTGAGCTTATGAAGTTGATAGAGAAGGAAATGAATTTGTTTTACAGGAACCTTAAGAAATATTCAAGACGGAATATATAATTTTCTACATGACCTCTTCTAGTAATTGACCTTTCTTGCTTTATTTGATATAAAAATCCAGACAAAAGGAAGTTATAAGAACTCTAAATGTGTAGTCAGGCAGACATTCTTATCTTCCAGGAAGGATCAGGGGACAGGGAGGGGTATGGTGAAGAAAAACAGGGGGAAGAACTGCTAATAAGACCAAAAAAGGGAAAATGAATTTCTAAGGAAGGCCAGTAAATCTCAGGAGGCATGACATTGCCGATGAACTGGAATATTCCAGATGCTACAGTGACAGCCATTGCTTCATCCCTTTCTCACCAAGAGGTCTCAGCTAAATCTGTCCAGGGTTTATTTATGTTTGTTTTTTTTTTTCAGGGGCATATTCCTCCCTCTGGTCCTGTCTCCCTGTCTCTCTGCTTCATCCCATCTTTCCTCTGTCATCTCTTAACTCTCTCTTTTGTCTTCTTTCTTGTTTCCCCTCCCCCCTCACTTCTTCTCTTCCTCCTTCCCTTTCTCTCTCACTTCCTCCCTCCTTCCCTCTCTGTGTTAAGTACTGTTCTAAGTGCTGAAAAGATGTCATACTCATGACAACTTATGGGGTCTCTTATTAACCCCATGTTAAAGATAGCGGACATAAAGGCATAGGGCAACTGGCATAAAGAGGTTAGATAATTCTTCCGACGTGAGTCTGGGCAGAGTTGGGATGATTCAAGGGGCTCCGATCATGTCACTCCTGTACTTGAACGCCTTGCTAGATTTCCTAGAAATTGCGTACAGCTCTGATTCTATAACATGACAGATGGACCTCTACAACAAATGGCCCCCAACCTCTCTCCCCAAACACAGTCGGCTTTTGTCACATCCCTAGAGGCCCCCATGTTATAGCATCATCAGAATACTCACTCTTTTCCAAACACAGATGGGCTTTTATGACTCCATGCTGCATGCCTGATACATAACACCTTGGTTGCTTTGTCGCATCCTTCTTTACCTAAAACTCTTACGCATTGTTCAAAACCCCAGACCACCTCTTTTGTGAAGCCTTTCCTGACACTTACAGGCTGAACTAGTTACTCTTCACTCTGAATGCAGACAGGAAAATGCTCACATTTCCATTATAGAATTTACGACATTGTCCTGGATTATTCATACATTTGTCCTGCCCACCAGACTCTGAAGTCCTGAAGAGAAGGAATGGGACCTTATTCACTGGCAAACCCAGTGTTTGCCACCTAGTTTGTGTTCACTGTGAAGAGGGTAGTACGATAACGCAAGAAAAGCATCATCGATATGTAACCTATATGCTAAACATAAGTAGTACTGACCTTAAATTTAAAGATTTTAGAACTGTACATACATGCTGATTTAAACAAACATTTCCTATAAAAATTTGACTTTATAAAATTTAAAATTGATTTATAATTTTGTCTTTCATTTCCTCTAAATCAAGAGCTCTGCTAGTGATTTAAACATGCCATGATTTAATAAAATGTGGTGTACATGTACTTTTCAAAAATACTTTTATTATGTAAAGTGAAATTCATTCTCTCTCTCCTTCACACACAAACACTCGCACACACTGGATATGGCAAACCAGTCTGTGAATATCTTTAGACTTTTTCATAGTATACACCTTTGTGTTAAAAATCTTTTTTTCTATGTAGTTTATTCATATTTATTTAACATTTAAGAAATAAATGTTATACTGATAAAATCAATTTAAATTTAGGAGTTTAATGATGGTGTTGCAGGAATTGTCACTATTATTCTACCTTTGTCCAACATTAGATTGCATAGTCTACAAACACACACACACACACACACACACACACACACACACACACACTATATGCAGTCCTACATATGTTTAACAGTTTCGGACTTCTTTCACTTTATTTCTAAATTCAAGCATATCCCTTTGGATTGTGTTATTTGGATGTCAAATATTTTCTTAAAATGATATATAAATATACCAATATACATTAGTGTATGAGTTGCAGGTATGTGAATATTTACTCACTGTATATATAGCTCATTCTGGTATATATATGTATATATGTATATAGTGTTATGTATATACACACACTATGTGTATAGTCTATATAAGTATATACATATATGTATATATGTGCACACACACATACTGTATTTATATATCCCTTTGGATGATATTATTTGGATGTCAAATATTTTCTTAAGATGATATGTAAATATACACATATATACATGTGTGTGTTAGCATGTATGTGGATATTCCCTATATATGTGGTTCATTCTGATATATATATATGTATATATGTATATAGTGTGTGTGTATATACACACACTATGTATATACTCTATATATCCTTTTGGGTAATGTTATTTGGATATCAAATATTTTCTTAAAATGATGTATAAATATACACATATATATGTGTGTGTATGAGTTGCATGTATGTGAATATTCACTCTGTATATAATTTATTCACTATGTATATAATTTATTCTAGTATACATATGTATATATGTATATAGTGTGTGTGTATATACACATGCTATGTATATAGTCTATACACACACACACACACACACACACACACTGTATTTATATAGTCTATGTGTGTACACACACACACACACTATATGGTCCATTACAGCGTGCTATATATTAATATATAGTTTCCAAGCTTCCTCATCCTTTAGGGCCAGCTAATGATTTCCAGATAATGAGACTGAAGGGTACCTCTGAACATTCCGGACCAAAGAACGTTAATGCAGCTACCAACCTGGAAATGCTCTTAAACAGTGAGCTCTCTGTCATGAAATCCTGAGCTGAGCATGTTCTGTAAATTGTGTTGTTTACTCTGTTGGGATATCTCCTGTCATTATTTTGTGTGACAAAATAATGGTGAACAATTTTGACTCATAATGACTGACAAATTGTACAAGTGATAATGCTGGATCTGTCATAAAGAAACAAAGAAGTATGATTGCCCTTGCTGCACCTCCAAAGGGATTTTGTTAAAATGAGCCCCTAAAATGTTGATCCATTATATGTTCCTGGGTTCCTCTCTCCCATCCCTCCCCGCAGCCCTCTGCTCTCCAGTTAAACACAGTGTTCTTGTATGTTGCTGTGTATTCATTTAACTTGTTTATCTCATCCTTACTTCAAATTTAGATATACTAGGTTTAGGTTTTATGTTTGCTTCCTGCTTTTACTAGCTTTTTCTTAAGTGAGAAAGATAATTGTGACTTCTTTTTATCGGAAACATCTTTTTTCTTAAATAGAGAATCATAGACTCGTAACTGTACATTAGGGTCAATATCCGTGGACAGGAAAGAGCACAGGTAGTTTGAAAGGTCCCCAGGTAATTCTAATGTACAGCCAGGGTTGAGGATCACCACCCACTAGAAGAAAGATGTCTACTTATCATCTAAGGAGTTGATTTTTCACCAGGAATGCTTTTTAAACATATGAAAAGCTTCCCCAAATGACTATTTTACACTATTATCCTCCCACAATCAGAAATTAATTTTCAAAGGAATCTAGATGATGGTATATCACAATTTGGCCCAGAATTCTCAAGAGAGAGAGATATCCTAAAAGAGAATAAATAGTTATATGCATTCATGGAATGACATTCTCTATGCCAACTCTGTCCTTTCCCTGGAATGTTGAATGAGCTTTGCTTTTCGAGGAGATTAAAAGTGGTTCACCTAAAGCCCAGATATCTCTGTATTTGACAAGGAGTGATGGGATGAGCTCTGTCTACTTACGAACCTCAGGAAATTCAGGAACTATAAAAAGATAGCGTCGTTGTTGCCCACAGTGGATGTCATACACAGGCACCTTCAGTAATGATTAACCACAGAGTCTGAATTGACGCCAGATGAGGGAAAATGCAAACAGCACCTGTGTGAAGCTTCTGCACTGGTTTCTACTCCAAAGTCATACAGAAGATGTTTGTTTTTCTCCTTAGGTTAGAACAAGTGTCCTCCCTGAACATAAGGATCCCCCGCCAGAGGTTGGGGTAAGTGTTTCTTTTGTTTCCGAAAGGCACACACACATCACTTCTAAGCTAATCATTTGGGTTTTCTCTGGCCTCCTGCCTTCTAGCTGACAAATAAAATTGAGTTAAATTAATAAAGTGTGACCATGCAAGGAGACACGGTCACATATTTGTGGAATTGCATGGACTTCGTTCCTTGTCTCCTGAAAATCATCCTCAAGTGAATTCTTATTTAGTTCAGCTGGCTAGAGATGAGTCTAGAAATTGCCCTGCAGGTAACTGAGATGTGATTCGGAGCCAACATTCCAGGACCAACAGGAGGCTGAGAAATTGTAGGTGTGAGCTCAACCGCTTCGGCAAGGACGCAGAGGGCTGACTAGCCGTAGGACTGTGATGTTTTCTGCATCCAGCCGCTTCAACACTGTAGGGCAGGTTGAAACAGAAGCTGCCACCGAAGTGCAGCCCAGTGCCGGAAAATCCAGCTGAGGTTTTCCTGCTGCATCTGAGCCATTGCATCTCAAGCTTTTACAAGTTGGGAGAGCAAGAGGGTAACAGGTAATTTTGCTTTAAAGCTGTAAAGACAAGTTTACAGTAGGCAACGGAGGCTCCTGAAGAATAGCCCAGCAGGCTGGTCCCTGGGATCTTGCATTCAGAAAGGTGGAAGAAGTCCAGAAGTAAGTTGAGTCTAAGAGGCCCTGCCAACTGAAAGGCCTATTTGAAATTCCCTGAAATCCTACAGGCAGTTGGCAACCTTCTTCCGGTGGGTGTGGGGAGCCCTGTACTAGGTAGCATTCATTTTCTCATTGGCAACAGCTGCCATCCCAACCTGCCAAGGGAGCCCTCCAGAAAGCGTGCCTTGCATTGGCTGAGAAGTGAGTCAGCCACCTCTGCATCTCTCAGCATAGGGGAAGGAAAAGGGTACTTCGTGCTCTCTCATGCCGAACGCAGCCTTCTAGTTTCTTCCTGGAACAGGCTGAATAACTCTCTTTGACTTAAATGAATCTTCATGCTTTGTTTCCTGCCAGTCCCTTCAGCCTCTTGTGCTGCTCTCACTTCCACCGCCAATCTTGGTGCCAAGACTACCTGGGCTTGTAGAGTTTCTCCCAAGGAACCAGCGAGTCCTCCCAGCCTCAGGCCTCTCTCCCTGCAGGACACATGCAGTCTCCTTGCCTGGCTGCCCAGTGGTGCTCTCTCCCAGCTCAGGACGCGGGTCACAGGCCTTTTGCCTACGACCACTCAGACGTCCTCCTTCAAACTAGAACCGCCAGTGCAAGCCGTCCTCACACCCTTTACGGTTCCTTCATATAATGTAAGGCCTTCTGAAATTTGTAACTCTTTTTTTAAATTAAAAAAAAATCTATAGTGCTTTACAATTTTCAAACGTTTCACACACATGATTTCATATAATCCCATAATAATCCTTTTCCCCCACCCCTATTTTGCTCCTCCCCCTTCCCTCTCCCCACTAATAACCACTAGTTTGTTCACTGTATCTGTGAGTCTGCTTCTTTTTTTATTTATTCACTAGTTTGTTGTGTTTTTTACATTTCACATGTAAGTGATATCATACAGTATTTGTCTTTCTTTGTCTGACTTATTTCACTTAGCATAATGCCCTCCAAGTCCATCCATGTTGCTGCAAATGGCAAAAAAAAAAAGACTGAAATTTATAACTCTGAATAAGTTAATCGTTTTTTTAAAAAAATTCCCATTTATTTTTTGAGGTTCAAGAAAGATGAGCTGGTTTAATTATTTTCCTCCAACTGCTCACTCCCACAATTTCTCTGTGTTAAATCCCCCTTGCTTGAGATTTTAATGACATCTTGGCCTAACTGTATGCATTTGCCCCCTATTTTTTCTCTCATTCAAGGTCTTGGAATGGGATGCATCTTATTCATTTTAAAACTTGAGTCTCTTCTCTGGTTTTAAATTATTCTCTTCCACCCTCTCCTCTACCATTTCCCGCTACAGGCTGTAGACATCTCTGCGCTTCTAGCAACTTGCGGTGGGGGGAGGGGGAATGGTCCATCCTCACACATTCTCCCCTTTCCTCCTCTCATTGCTCAGTCGCTCAGGAGAAAGGAAAGGGGAGAGGTTCCTTCTGTGCTTGCCCACCATGAGGTGTGGTGCCCTTTATGCTGGTTTTGATGCTTCTCAGCATAATGCTGCCTGAGTTCTCTTTGTGGCAGAGTGAAATGCTGGCTCTCCTGTGAGCACAAATATAGGTATTTCTGGAGGCCTTGGAGGCCCCTTCCCATTGTATACTTTCCCATCATGGGGGATCTGGTTCTGGCTGAACCATGTCTCTTCTGACCGTTTCTATGAGCCCCAGCAGCATCGGGTACTAGATAATCAGTGATTCTCAAAGGAGACACAGTCACCAGTTCCCAACACAGCAGAGGTAGAGATGGTTTGGACACCTTCAAGCTTCATAAGTCATGTTTTGGGTCCATACTCCCATGACTTTGGTTTTGGCCTTGGAGATGGAGATGTCTTCCTGAGGTTAACGAAGAGAGAGATCCGCTTCATTTCCTAAATTGTATCCTCCCCAAATTCTGACCTCTCTCTTCCAACACTACCTTTGTATGAACTGGCTGTGTTGTGGTTACTGATAGGCCAGTTTCTCTAAACTGGCTCCTTTTAGGCACTGTGATGAGGTTTTCTGAACTTACAATGTGGAACATTTGTTATCTTGTGTCCTCATCCTTGACAAAGACTCATGTATAATTCCTGGACCAAAAGAAACTTCTCAATGGGCATTCTCTGACATGCCTATTGTATCAGTTAGGAATGCATTCAGAAGCAAGTAACTGGATGTAGAGTAGGTAACAGACTTGTTCTTCTCATGTTAAGAAAAGTCATGGGGAAATTGCCCAAGTCTCCAGCTACTCAAAATGACCTAAAGCAACCAGGCTCTGTCCATTGCCCTGCTTCTCCTTTCTTAAAGTGTTGTACAGTCTGACCATTACACCTCCAGGTATCACATTCCAAATTGAAAAGGTTCTGAGCAACTCATCCTGTTCCTTCAATTCTGGAAAGGAAAACTCAGTTGGTATACAGTCATTCCTCAATATCCTCAGGAGATTGGTTCCAGGATCCTCCTCGGATACTAAAATCCATGGATGCTCAAGTCCCTTACAGTTGGCTTTGCATATCTGTGGGTTTTATATCAATTGTTCTGCATCCCAGGGTACAGAAGGCCAACAGTCCCACCACTTACATAATCACTGAGATGATCAGAGTCCCTGGGTAGAAGGGAATCGGGATACAATTCCCATTTAAACAAAATCAAATGCTATTAGTAATGCAACTTGGGCAGAATGGGTATTATTTATTAGTAGTGTCTCCACTCTCCTACTACATGTTAAACTCCATGATTGCAAAGATCATGTATATTTTATTTACGTTAATAGCCCTAGCTCTGTGCCCGGAAATTAGCAAATCTTGATATATGTATTGAATGCATTAGGAAGCATACCATGATTTTGGTTTGCCAGCCATCTTATATTTTTTTAGAACCACCAGAATAAAAAGGGAGGGGGTGTCTAAAAATAATTGCAATAACATGGTAAGAATCGAGTACATTTTTATGACACATCGGAAATCAATAAAATGGTAATTATATTACCAAACTAAATCTCAAGCATGATAAGAATGAGTCTAAATAAGAACAAGTCAGCATGCCTTGGCTTTTCTAACACCCTCAGAGCACATGATGTTCTGGATAGAGAAAAATTGTCACGCCTTGAGCAGCTTTGAAGTACCACTGATTATTATACATCTCATCACTCCTCCAAAATATTTTTTGGGACACTGAAAAAAATTCTTGAGAATTTAAGTTCTTGGCCAAGAACATAGAGCAGGTAATGGCTCTGCCATTACAATATGCCACGGACTCTAGCCACTAAGTACTCCAATTTAAAAAAACGAGCTAAAATTTTTTATTATAAATCTTTCAAATATGTTCCATACATTTCTTTGCATTCTTCGGCAGCATCTATTAGATGAAACCACACCTTTGGTGATGACTTAGTCAAGCAGATACCAGGCTGTGCTCTGAGACCTTGTGAGGTATATTCATAGTAAAGATGTAATTTTATAATATATGACTTTGCCCTAAATTGCATTTTAATGTGTTCTTTGGACTGTTCATCAAGTTGTAATAGGTATTCTCTCAGTTCTTTTTTCTTTGTCACGTATTTTTTCAGCGCATATAGTTCATGTACCCTCTGTCCCTTCCTATAGAGTGGGAAACCACACAACCATGTCTGTTAGAGTAGAGGGGGAAGAAAAAGTACCTGTACAAAAGTATGAAAAAGGGCCCATCCTGTAAGTTATGTGCAGGAGATGCTGTGTATCAGCCTGCTTCACAATATAAACTTCTGGTCTTCAAAGACCTTTTAAAACCTACACCACAGTTCCAGTATATAGTTTTATGAGAATATGTCAGAGTATTATGTATATCTTCATTTACCCTCAAAAACCAGCACTGTCTTCTAGAGACTGTCATACAGAGTGAAGTAAGTCAAAAAGAGAAAAACAAATATTGTATAATATCGCTTATATGTGGAATCTAGAAAAATGGTACAGATGAACTCATTTGCAAAGCAGAAATAGAGACACAGATGTAGAGAACAAACTTATGGATACCAAGGGGGGAGAGAGGATGAATTAGGAAATTTGGATTGACATATGTACACTACTATGTATAAAACAGATGACTCATGAGAACCTACTGTATAGCAGAGGGAACTCTACTCAGTGCTCTGTGGTGACCTAAAGTGAAAGGAAATCTAAAAAAGAGGGGATACATGTATATGTATGACTGATTCACTTTGCTGTATGGCAGAGACTAACATTGTAAAGCAACTATACTCCAATAAAAATTAAAAATAAAAAAACAACACTGTCTACTAGAAATTTAATGCATGCCACATATGTAATTTAAAATTTTCTAGCAGCCCATGCTTTTAAAAGAGTAACAAGAAAACAGGTAAAATTAGTTGTAATATTTTATTTAACTCAATATATGTAAAATATTATCATTTCAAAATGTAATCAATTCAGAAATCAGTAATGATATATTTCACACTCCGTTTTTCATGTCACATCTTATAAATCTGATTTGTGTTTACACTTAGAACACAACTCACAGTAGCCACAAACTAGTGCACATGCTGGATAATGCAGCTCTGGACAGTACTTGGAAAAACTTGGGAGATCCATGAAAGTTGTAGTATAAAGGAAACCTAAACTTTGAATACAGGCTTTGTGAGATGAACATAGGTGATGGAGGTATGTGTATGGAGGAGTACTTCCTCTGGATCCTTGTGTAGTACCAGGGGAATGAAACCATTGAGGACCTGCTTCAGGCAGGTATGCAACCCTGCTGAGCATTCTGGATGTCTGTGACTTGTGCTAAGTCCCTGCCAGGGCAGGCAGGATGATTGGTTTATTTGTACGCTCCCCGTAGAGCAGAGCCAGGGATTGAGACAGGTGCCCTGCATTCTCCACCCCGCTTGATATCACTCTCCAGCCAGGTGAGTGATTGAAATAGTGCATCTAACAATTTGATGATCACCTGCTTTGGGTGCCTGCACCAGAATGATAATGGTGAGTGTTGCATTGTCATGAGCAGGCAAGAAAAGTCAGAGCTGCACAGAGTGCAGGCAGAGAGCCTGTCAAAAGGAAGGGGAATTGCCACCTGTCCTGCAAATGAGGCACAGCGTGCGGGGGATGAAAGAGTTCTGGACTGCAGAGCAAGAAACCTGGATCCTAACTTGGCTTCTGCGTATTAACTAGTTCTGTGACCAGGTGTAAGCCAGTTAACTCCCATGAGTTCCTGTCTCTTCATCTACAGACTGGCCATGTCTTAACAAGTCTTAATGTTTGTTGATTTCATTCAGACATTTCTTGGCCTCTGACAAACATTCCACATGATCTAATAAAAATTTGAGCTATAAGGAATCATAGGTAACGTGTGCTCAACACTAAGAACTATAAAGGACCACATAACTTTCATATCTTTTTTTTTCACTAGAATTTATTCTAGTTTATATTTCCCTGAATCTAACTTTTACTTTTAAACATACATTTTTCTTTTTTATAATAGGAATTTCTCATAGACTTTCTTTAAAAAAATATACTCTGCCTTTTCCAAAAAGTATTGGAAGTGGACTTATATTTAAGTCATCGGACTTCTGGGCATATTTCCCTTAAGTACTGTGCAAGCTAATATTTATGCAGTGCTTCCTATTTTCCCAGCAATGTACTAAGTGCTTTGCCTGGATTACTTTAATTCTCATAACAATAACTATGAGAAAGATACAGTTATCCTATGCAACTTTTTCATCCAGAAACTAAGGCCTAGTATGGTGGAGTAACTTGTCCAAGTCCCAGATTTGTGAGAGAGAAGACAGACAAACGGAGCTTGACAGCGTCCATCAGTGGACAGCCAGCCTGGGGGCTGGGAGAAGTGATTTAATTGCCCAGATTTCCATTTTTGGGCATAATCATGGATTTAGAACTACACTTCAGACCTCCAACTCTAGTTTTTCTTTGTTTTTAAATTTTCTCCTGATATTGGATCTCCCAGCTTAAAACCTTGAAGATGAGAATTTTAGAAACAATACTGAAGGAGAGATGAAAACATTGTTCCCTGAGTTATATTTGGAATATAAACAGATTTTTTGAAATAATTTTCTTCAATTCTATGATTATGATTAAAGTGACAGTAAAGATAAAATAACTCTATATTAAATTATTCTTTTGCATTAGCATTCTGTGCTGTTTTCCCTCCATGGGGATTCAGGTTTCATAATAGAGAAGACCGTTTTCTCTCTAATTCATTCTTTGACCAGGAGTCCAATGAATATTCATGTAAATGAATGATGTGTTTTCCACTTTCAGGGGTGTGGAGGGTCCTAGTTTTATTTATACTGAGGTGAAGCAAACACATAAAAACCTGCTAGAAAGTAAGAGTATAGGCAAGTCCATTGTTCGGTATTGCAATGTGAAACAATTAGGCAATGTCTTTAAACTGAGGGATTTTATTAAATGCATTTTATGCAACATGTAGTCCTAATGTACAGTTATTTTTAGGATAAATTTAAAAAGTATTTTTAGAATAAATAACACTTCCTCTGGTTTGACACCCTTTCATAATGCCATTACCTAAGTTGATTTATAATGGATTGTATGATTTCTGTAAGATCTCTCTCAAAAGATAATATCCCTTGAGATTAAGCATGTGGCTGACAGTTGTGATGGAAAAGTTTGACTCACAGGCATCCTTTTTGGCACACTACAAACACTCACAGTGCAGCATTGGGCGTAGCATGCAGCCTCTCTGTTCTGGACAATGGGCTGAGCTAGAAGATGGATGAGCCAAGGTCCTGCTTCCACAGGAGCTCCCGGCCTGGTAGGCAGGAGAGACATTCAATGACTTGTGGTCACAGACTACTTGCAGCTGTGCCTACTGGTGTGTCTGGGGCGCATGTCTGAAAATAGCCCCTCCACCTGTCTCTCGTTGCTACATTCCCGTCTGGGACATCTGCTGCTTCTATTGCTGAAAAGACCACACTAACATTCATGGCATGTGCAGTTTGTTTTCTTAATTCTAAAACCATCCCTTCCTTCAGAAATCTCAAAAGGCAAGGAGAAGAAATAACTGGAAATTTGGGGGCACCGTGACATTTCTGGTGGGTTGAGCATTTTCTTCAAGTGAGGATAATGAGTGAGGAGTAGAATTTAAATTAACAACCCTAATTACTGGTGAAAGAGAAATAAGCAAGACATCTCTTTAAAATACAAAATGCTAAAGTGAAATTCACTACCACGCTATACAATCCACAAGCTAAAAAATTGTTTTGATTTCCCACAGGTCAGTGAATTATAATGGTTTATAAATATCTGCAGGAGGAGTATTTCTTTTATATCTCATGGTATAAATTACTTGAAAGCTAGTGTCTATGCCATTCATTCATTCATTTATTGTCAGTCACTATTTATCACACACCTAATGTGTGTTAGGCAGTTGGGAGGTTACCAGAAGACAAAGCTCGTTGTGGATCTTCAAATCTCAATTTTTATTTTGAGGGGAGGACAGAATAAGCAATTAAATACATAATATTTAAGTGACAACGGAAAAAATACAACAGGATAAGGAATGGAGACAAGCAGTGTGGAGAAGGGGAGCCCTTTTATACAGCGACGTCCTAATAGGTTATCTGCTGAGGTGGCGTAAGTGCTTTTGTTCAGCTGGGTCTCTTCTAGACACTCTCTACCCCTTACTGAAAAGCCACCCTCAATTTTGGCTTTGTTCATACAGCTCTTGGAATTCTTCTCTGCCTTGATTCACTCTCAGCACTCATGTCATCACAGCTTGTTTTCACATAACATTCTCCACCTAATAATTTAGTCTTCTGTGATCCCCAGTTTGGCAACTTGGTATCTAAACCACTTCTTCGAGTTTCAAGTGAATTAATTAGGTTTCATCATTACTAACATATAGGCATCTCCAACTTACAACCGAGTTGTATTTCAGGTGTTTGCCTTTAAGTCGTTTGAACCAGTTCTTCTAAGTTAGGAGTTTGAAAAGAAGGAGAAAAATTCTGACCTGAAGCTTGTCTTCTCTATGTTCAAGGATCACTTTGTGTAGATGCAGCCTCTTATGTATGGAATCACTGTGCTCTTTCCTCTGAAAAGAACCAGTTGACTTAAGTCCAGCATCTCATTCTAGGGCAGGCTGGCAACAGACCTATGAAGAGAGAATGTTCTGGAAGATGTAGTGTAGACTTCTTGTAAAGTATTATGGTGTGTTAGGCAGCAATGGTATAGGTAATAATATGGGTTTGATACTGATATTTTCGTGTTTACATCTTGACCTTGAAAGGAGAATGAGAAATTTTATTTATGGTATACCATAATATTGTGACTTTTAAATCACAGGCAGCCAGGAATATTAAAAAGAGATGAAAGATTTTTATCCTGGAAAAGAAAAACCAATTTAGTGTTTTATTCTTTATATTATGAGTCAGAGAGTGTAGAAGGTAGATATATTCATAGATAGTCAACACCCAGTATGATAGGTTAAAAAAGCAATTTTAGAAAATGTAATTGAATAAGTACCATTCTTTTTTGTGTGTCGGCGTGAAATTGTCCCATGCTAGTGTAGAAATAACAAAGGAAACAAATACTTTTAAACATTGCTGCGATGGGGGAGAAATGTAGCATTTCTATTTATAACTTGCACAGAATCCCACATAAAAATAGCTCCAACTAACAGATTTGCTCATATCTGGAATACAAAGTTGTTGCTGCCCATGACTTGAGGAATTCTAATAAGAACAAGGACGGCATTGGTAAATATTAAACGTCTGTCATCTTTTCTTTTATCTCAGTTTTCATGTGGGGAGAAAATGTGTTCATGGAAAAGTCCTGGCTTCTGTGTTAGACATTTTGTTATTTTCCTGACTATTCATCTCTGTTTTTAATGAGAAGGATGCATTTGCATCCCTCAACCTCGCCCCATGAAGTGGATATCTATTACTGATGGTTGTATTTCTGTCAATGAAATATTTGTCAGGCTAATAGATTTAACATTGCACTCTTCTGAAGACTAGTTTTGTGTGATTGCTGTGACACAAAATACTGAGAACCTCAGAAGTTAATGGAAACCATTCTTTCTTATTTTCAGCGAAGCTTTCTGGGCTATACCAGTTTTAAAGTCGGAGATCTACTGAAGTCCAAGGAGCAGGTGCTGACCCTGAGCCTGAGGTGGGTCTCAATGCTGTTAAATTTAACAGCCTGTGATATTTATTGAAGGCTGGTTGGGTTTGAAAGTCACAATTCTTGCAGATGTTTGGATGTCAACTCTCAAACAGCTTACGGTCTCCTCTGCAGCTAGTTACAGGAAAACAGCAATTATTCAGGTTCATATTCAAGTCTGTGTTTCACATGGTCAAAAGTTATCAGCTCTTGTAGGGAA